CTTCTTCTTTAGTTCCGGAATATCTGGGACACACATTTGGTTCCAGAATTTCAACACTTCATTCTCAATGCTAAACTCTGCTTTCGGGCTTGTCTCAAACTCATCAATCACTTTATTAAGGAACTCATCCTCTTTCTGTTTCTGCTTGATTTCATCAATAATTGCCGGCTCGGCTATAATAGCGGCTATCAATCCGCCTTGTTCACACATTACCACTTCAATTTCAGATTTCTCAAAATCTTGCAAGATTTCTGTCTGTTCAGTAAGAAAACAAGCCATACTCCCCGTTGATTTTCTGCTCAAGGCATCAGCAATTGTATTAGCTTTCCCGGGGTGATACTGAATTTCTAGATCATAATCTTTTATCAGTTCCAGCCATCTCCTCCGTCGCATATTCAACTCCTTCTGCGTGAAGAAGTATTTCAGACTTTTGTGATTCGTGTGAAGCTCACACTTTGCTCCATACAAATAATGCCGCCAGATTTTCAAAGCAAAAACAACCGCGGCCAATTCTAAGTCATGTGTCGGATAATTCTTCTTCTATGGCCTCAACTGTCGGGAGGCGTAGGCAATGACCTTTCCGTTCTACATTAACACACAACCTAAACCTTTATAAGACCCATCACTGAAAATTACAAAATTTTTCGTACTTGACGGTAGTGTCAAAATTGGTGCAGTGGTCAATCTTGTTTTCAATTCTTGGAAGGCAGATTCTTTTTCGTCGTTCTATTCAAACGGTTGCCCTTTATGTGTCAATTGGGTAAGAGGTACAGCTATCTTGGAAAAGTTTTTCACAAACCTCCTGTAATACCCGGCTAAGCCCATAAAACTACGAACTTCTATCACATTAGTCGGTGTAGGCCAATTCACAATCGCCTCTATTTTCTATGGGTCCACTGAAATTCCTTCCTTGTTGATCACATGCCCTAAGAAAACAACTTCATCCAACCAAAACTCACATTTCTTTAGTTTAGCAAATAATTTCCTTTCCTGAAGTATTTGTAAAACAGTTCTCAAATGATGTTGATGTTCAAGTCTATCTTTAGAGTATATCAAAATGTCATCAATGAAAACCACAAAAAACTCATCGAGGTAGGTTTTAAAAATTCAGTTCATTAGGTCCATAAATGCTGCCGGAGCATTAGTCACTCCAAATGGCATAACAAAAATGACCATACCTTGTTCTAAATGCTGTTTTCTCAACATCTTCTGCCTTTACTTTCAGCTGATGGTACCCAGACCTCAAATCAATCTTAGAAAACACCTGTGATTCCTGTAACTGGTCAAATAAATCATCAATACGGGGTAGGGGGTATTTGTTCTTTATTGTTACCTTATTCAATTCCCGGTAATCGATGCACAAACGCAAAGTTCCATCCTTCTTTTTCACAAACAACACTGGTGCACCCCAAGGCGAAGTGCTAAGTCTGATAAACCCCTTGTCAAGCAGGTCTTGCAACTGTTCTTTCTATTCTTTCATTTTGGCAGTAGCCATTCTGTAGGGAGTCTTAGAAATGAGTTGGGTGCCTGGCACAGTTTCAATAGTAAACTATATCTCCCTGTCTACCAATCCCCTTCGTAATTCATTTGGAAACACATCTGGAAATTCTCTAACAATAGGAATATCATTCAGTTCAACATTCACAGATTGTTCAGACAACACATAGCACAAATAACCCTGGCACCCTTTCCTGATCAATTTACATGCTTTCATTGCAGATATCAAATAAGGTGGAGGCAATACCCCATTGCCCACAAACACAATCTCTTTTTGCTCTGGTGGTTTAAACACAACCCGTTTTGTCACATAATCAATGGTGGCACAATACTTGGTCAACCAATCTATGCCCAAAATTACATCAAAATGCCTAAAGTTCAAGGGCAACAAATCTACATATAGGATAGCATCCTCAACACGCATTTCACAAAACCGGTATATAGATTCACACAATACAGATTCCCCAGATAGAGTAGACACACATAGCAAATATGGCAATAATTCTAGGGGTCTATTCAATCTAGATGTGAATGCATATGTTATAAATGAGTGTGTGGATCCAGAATCAATTAACACAAAAGCATCTTGATTACATATAGAAATAGTACCTGAGACCACTGCATTGGCATTCCGTGTATCACCCAGAACAAGTGTAAAAACTCTTCCCTGTCTCATGGTATCACCGGTGGTAGCGGATCTCAAAGTATTTCCCGGCTTTGGGATCGATGCAGTGGAACTAGCAGCCATTCTTCCACCATTCTGATTACAATCTCCGGCTATATGCCCTTATTTTTCACATTTAAAACAGGCTCCTGATGCACGGTAACAAACTCCACGGTGCCTTTTGCTACAAATATTGCACAAGGGAGCTGTGTCTTGAGAAGAACTTGAAGTGTTTGAGGAGCCCGTGTTTTGCTTTTTAAGAAATTTCTTCTTTGAGAAGAAGCCTTGTCTCTTGTTGCCTTTCCATTCTGTAGTTGGCTTAGCTTGTCTAGCTATGTTAGTCTCTGATATGATGGCCCTGTCTAGCACCCCAATGTAGGTTTCTAACTTCAAGACATTCACTCTTTCTAGAATGTCACTTCGAAGCCCACCTTTAAAATGTCTCGCCTTCTTATAGTCTGTATCAATCACAAGTGGTGCAAACCGGGCCAATTCAGTGAATTTGGCCTCATACTCAGCTACAGTCATACTGTCTTGCTTTAGTTCCATGAACTCTGCTACTTTCTTATCCCGAACACACTGCGGGAAGTACTTGTCATAGAAGATTTTCAGAAATTTCACCCAATCAACATCCTTATGATTTTCTCACATTAACATCCACCATCTTCTTGCCTCGTCTTCTAGCATAAAAGTGGCTAGAAGCACTTTCTGAGTCTCTGAACAGGGGAACACTTCAAATAGCTTTTCAATGTCGAGGACCCACGCTTCGGCTTTCAACGGATCCAATCCCCTGTGGAACTGTGGTGGTTTCATTTTCTTGAATTCTTTGGTGAGAGCTATTATCCGATCATCATTCTGATTATCTAGCACGGGTGGTGCCGGAGGTGGAGGTGGCAGATGTGGTTGCTGCCACTGTTGTTACCACTCCTGCTGTTGTCTCAAAGCTTCTACCATTTCCTGTAACAATCTTTCCATTCTGTCTATTCTGGCAGTAGAGGATTCCTCTATCTCATCACCTCTTGTTCTCACCATTTGATTTAACTTGCATTATACTTTATACAAAAATTTCACAGGTATGCATATACAGAAGAACATACTTAATCAAATAATTTCAATGCAAGCAATTCACATCTTATAGCACATATTCGTTCATATCAAAACAGTTAGGCATATTGTCAATGCTTCCAAATTCATACTTATGAATGCATCCTAAATCTTTTCTAGACGCCTATTGTTCTATTGGACAAGTGTGTGAGTTATTAGCTCGTGCTTTGATACCACTCTGTCATGACCCGAACCCGCCACCATGGGTTAAGGACATAACCGACCAGTAATCATGAGATTACCTACGGCCTCACAAAAGCCAAACGTATTTTAATAGAGTTAACGGGGGCCAAATGGAAGCAATTCAAACTTTGTCCATAGAGTCATGCTTATGTGCACATCAAAACAAACCATACATAAGTACATTAATAACCCACAACAGAAACATAGTACCAAAAAGTTCTGCACAGACAGGATCATTCCAGCCTAAGTCAACCCATCACAACTATATACAAATATACACAAAGTCCTCGCCAACGTGACAAAATATAATACATGGCAAAATGGCAAGGACGGGTCTCGTGCGTAAGACACAAGGCCTGACTCTCCATAAACTTTGTTGTTCCTGACAGACTTCACTGGGGCTGGGTTGGGACTCCTTTTGGCTCACCTACAAGCACAAGAATGAGTGTGAGCGATAGCCTAGTGAATAATATCAAATACAGAAGTTACACAAATGATATGTAGAACAACATGCTCCAAACGGCCTTAGGTCCAATTCATATTTCTAGTGAACATATATACATATACAAGATTTAGGTCAAGTGACTGTAGTTTCATGAATACAAAAGGGTCATTAACAATTCAATTCGTTCCTTAATTCACACATTCCTCTTTAAGCCTTATTGTTATCTCTTTAACTCATTTACAATGCTTAATGCATGCCTAAGAGTGCTTGCAAATGAAAGAGAACGGAAAACGAAACACAGAATGCGAAAACAAAATTTCAGAAAACAGGGTCCCCGCTCGAGCGTGGACTCCCCCACTCGAGCGGACCCTTAAGGCCTGTGCTACATATTCTCATGAATTGTACATGAATGTGCTACATAACCCTTACTCTCAACTTAGATGATAAAAAGGTAATCAAAACATGAGCTTCAACTACAAATTTACATGGATCATACCCTTTGAGCTCAAACATGCAATATTCAAAGCAATTATACACATGCATGACATATGGGTCTTCATTATAACAAATTCAACTCAATCTCCTCATGATCAAACTAATCTATGTTCTTGACCCTCTTTCAAACTTGAATTCACAAGATGATAACTAAAAATACATGAATTACTCACCTAGGTGCTTAATCTTCCAAACTCTAGTCAATTCTTGGACTTAATCTTCAAGATTTCCAAGCCTTGAGCGAAAACTACACAGTTCTCTCCCTCTCTCTCTCTCTAAGGCTGACCCTCTCCTTTCCTTCTTGAGTTAGCATCAACCAAAATGATATAAGGAGAGGAGTTGATTATAATAAGGCCCCTTTTTAGCCCCACTCACACATTAATTCATTATAAACAATTTGGGCACTTATTTCATTAATTTAATCTGATTAATTTGTTCCAAATCAATTTTCAATTAAATTTCACCGTAGGCTCTAAAAATTATGCCAATCACAATGGCGCGACCAATTTCAGGTTCTGTGGCCGATAAGGCCTCCAATTAAATTTCCGAAGCCAAAAATCAAATAGATATTCCTACGGTGAACAGATAGAAATTCAAAACCACATATTTTCACGTAATGGTACACAAAATCATATCAAAACACATAATCACATTCATATTAAGGACCAATTAACATATTACGGAACAGGGGTATCACAAGTATGCCCAGGGTTTTTTGATGTTCCTCATCGGGACCACTCTATTCTGCAATACAGGGAACACAGTTGGACTTTATTTGCTCAGCGCTTTGGTAGACCTATCACAGGTTAGCCAATATGATTGGGGTGGTGCCAGCCTAGCTACCCTTTACTGTTATATGAAGGCGACCTCCCGCGAGCGAGGGAACATAGTAGGTGGCTACTAGAGAGCTTGGGAGGTATATTCTGCCATCTTGATTTACACTGCATACATTGCATACATTTCATTCTGTATCCCACATCCTGTACTCAGCATTCTGTATTTTCTATACATTCTATATCCACATTTTGCACTCGGCAATCAGTATTTTCTGTACATTCTGTTTTCTGACAGCCACTGTCTTGTTTTTTCACAGCTATGGGTTTATGCATACTTCCCGACGCTAGCCCCTGAGCTCGAGGTTGAGGTACCCCTGGAGATCCCCTACTCTCGCAGATTTGAGGGTCGGTGTCAGTCGAGGACTTGGGAGACTTTGCTCTATCTCCGACAGTTCTTCGATATTGTACGACCGACAGAGGTAATCAAGAACTCTCAGTTCTTCATGCTTTCAGCTTTAATTCATCTTGCATACTTATGACATCTAATCAGTTTATGCACGTGCTATCTGTAGATTACTTGGCAGCCATGGGCACCCTTGCCAGCAGATACCCAGTTCCGGTTCCTGGAGGGTGGGCCGCTTCTCGATACAGGACTATATTTGAGGGGCCATTTGGCAGGGCCTGGTTTCTGAGGGATCGTTTTATGTGTCAGACGATGGGCAACCTTGAGCAGGGTGTCCCCTCAGCACCTCCAGAGGACATACGGTCCACTGAGGGACTCACTCCCTAGGAGGTCGAGGAGCTCATATTAGGTACTGATGTAGTTCTATTGCTAGAGGAGGGAGAGTACGCGACCTACCGCCGTACATACCAAATGCCTCCGCTGTCAGATGTCCATGCCCCCAAGAGGAGGGCTACTGACGTGCCTTCTTCGAGTCGCGCCCGAGCTAGAGACATTCCTTCGAGCAGCGGAGCCGACACATCGAGGGGTGGGGCTGGATGGATGTCCTCTACTTGCCAGTATACCGGATGGCCAGATCTTCCGACCGGGCTAACAGGTTGGAAGTGTGAGACACCATACCAGATCCCGCTAAAGCCTCCGCGGCCAGGTCACCGATATGTCAGTGAACCTGACTTACCACCGGTATGCTTCATAGCTTTCATTTATGATTCAGATATATATTAAGACATTCATTCATTTACTGATGACTTGAACTTGCATTTGTAGCCTCCCAGAGAGTACATGGATGGATTGCTCGGAGTGGTGGCCTCGCTCGAGGGCATGGTCCTGTGGAGGGAGACAATGTTGTTCGTCGCCGGCGTTTCGGTACTCTTCAATGTCCTTGCATTTATCACACTTCTGATGACATACTAAAATTGAATATTTCACCACATTGGTTGACTGCATGGGTAGAGCACATCTGACACACACCACATTCACATACTATATTTGCATGCACACATTCTATGTAGCATTCTTGCATCTGCACCTGATATATATACTGGCTAATGCACTCAAACTGTCCTTTTCAGGTCCCACCACTACAAGTCGGGCCATCCAAGCCTTCTCGAGAGGCTGGGAGAGGGGGCTCGACTCGCAGTCGAGGCAGACATAGGGCACCTATCAGAGATGATGAAGAGTCTACGCATCCTCAGTCGGAGACATCCGCAGGCAGAGAGGAGGACTCTGGCTCCGGTTCTGAGAGTGGAGGTGATGCCGGGGAGGATTCCGAGGATGGCAGCTCCGATTCGAATGGTGGTGGTGGTAGTTGTGGTGCAGAGGCTGTCCAGGCAAAGAGGATGAAGAGAGCCTCCCGATCTTGAGCCTGACAGCACTAATACAGATGTCCCTGCTTTATTTTCTTTTTTTACTAGTAGTTGTAGCACCTCAGCTTTAGGCAATTCTATTTTCCTTAAAACTTGTACCTTCTTGTAAAATGCTGTAAAAAGAAGCTATGATGGAATGAAACAACTTTTGTTGAAAAAGTGTTGTATTTTATATTCTTAGCATCGCATCGCATCATTTTTCACAAAAACAAGATTGAATGGAAATTGAGCACTGTGTATTGCCAAGTCAGGTAGTGAACCGACGCAAACAAACTAAACAACTTAACTTACTAAGAAACAACAAAACCTTAGCAAGTTTACAACTTGATAAGCAAATCTCAACAATGTTGATAAACAAAGAGTAACAACTCGATGTACAAAACTCGACAACTCGATAAGCAAACTTAACAACTTGATAGGCGAAACTCAACAACTCGATAAACAAAACTTAACAACAACTCGATAAGCAAATGCATTTCTGACAAAACGGGCGACGGAATGCATCCAAAACAAAGGTAAACTCGGACCTTCAACACTCCCCATGGAAAGGCTAGGAGCTCTCCTCTAGAGACTAGGAAAAGACCAAAAACTAGCTTTTCTCCCTGGCCGACCCCCAAATGTGGCTGGCCGACCAGTTTTTTGCCCTAGAGACCAGTTATGTGGTCGGCCGACCAGAAAAACTGGCTAGCCGACCAGAAAAAATGGTTGGCCGACCAGTTGGCCTGGTGACCTCCAGATTTTTGACACGTGTCCTCCCAACAGTGCCTTATCCTCCATAAAAGTTCCAGCTTCGTGGTTCTCTCATTCCATCTCAGTTTTACATCAAAATGGAGGCATTTCTCATCCAAAATCTCACAACTTGGATTGCTACCTTAGATGGCTTGGAAAAGTTGAACTTTCGAGGCTTTGGCATAAATGCACTATTCACGCTAAGTCGCACTCTCCTGCACCTTCCATTTTTCCATGTCGCGGCAAGGTTTTGGAATCCGGTAACACATGTTTTTAGCTTTAGCGGGCAAGAGGTGTGTCCTACCTTCGAAGACTTCCAAGCTTTGATGGAATTCGAGCGCAACGAAGAAATCTTGCCCTAGCTTCGCTCCGGCCACGCCTAAGCCTGAGGAGGAATGTGTGGGCACACTATGCACGACGTTCGGTCTTTGATTTGTGGCGGAATGCTAGACATTCTGAGTTTGATTCGTCGATATTCCGATGCCGGTGACCGCAGCGACCATCATTGGCAGGGCTTTCAGCAACATGCACTTTGCTTGTGCATGCTATCCCATTTCTTGCTTGCCTCAGGCTCTGGAGGATCTAGTGTCCGGTTAATCTAGGTTGCCGATGGCTTAAAGGAGGGCAAAAGTTGTATTGCCATGACACTGGCTGAGACATTGATTGGCTTGGATGCCTTTCATCGCCGAGAGACAACCAGGTTTGCGGGGAGTCCACTACTGCTGCACGTAATGTTTCAAACCCTGTCTCGCATATACTTTGCTCACATCACTCGGCCCTCAGGCTCAATTATTTTCTCTCAAAACCCTTTTCTCACTTTTCTCTCATCGCACATCTCTCTATTCTTTAATCTCTCATTTTTCATCCCTCCCCAAATGTGGTTGATGGATAAGTTACAGATTGTGGACTCATGCCCTGCATACTCAGCTTGCAACTATTCCTTCCGACAATGTCTGGTCGATGCCCTTGATGAGGGATGGTGGTTTAATTGGATGTGTAGTTTGTCCGCAGACCGCATTGCTTGGCGATGTCCTTGGCTCAATCTACCAGCAATGAGCTACAGCATGTCTCGACAGACCGGAATTCAGTTGATCGGCCTGACACATTGCGTGTTCTACTTTCCTTTCCGATTCCAGCGCCAGTTCGGCCATGATCAGACTTGCCCGACAGAGGGGATAGAGTACCCAGCTGCATTTCTGGTCCGAGGCGCACAGCTAGCTCGGTATGCCACTACATGGAGGATGAGAGAGCTTCTGGCCCCCGCTCCCACTATCAGTTGCACCCTCTCTGATGAGTGCATAGCTTGGCTTGTTGAGGAGGCGCAAGTTGGGCCTACTTTGGCATCAAAGGCTTCAGCCAGCTCTGGGAGGGGACACGGGAACACCTGACTATGCCCCTGATTTATTTTCTTTAATTAGAACTTTCAAGTTTTCTTTATGAGTGTAATAAAAAGCAACTTCAATTTTTATTCAAGAGTAGGAGAACTCTGTATTGAAATCAATGAAATTGAAGGTTGTAGGTACTAAAAATTTCCCGTTTGGTCCAAAAATGGTATAAGTTATAAAAGATTAATTTGAGAAAAATCAACTTTTATTAAAACTTCTCAAAACCATTTTCGATATGGATCAGAACTGGACATGCCTGAGATCTGTCACTGAGATGCACAACCCCGGATCTCAACAATTGGAAAGTTGCCCCTAGTCTGAATAGCACTGCACCAGAGATCATGACCGAGGCTCTTGAATGCGGAATAGACAACGATGACCGAGATGATCAAATGCACAAAGTTGATCGGGAAAAGTTTATGGATGGACTTCAGGGTGAAGTTGCCTACGTATCCCAAAGATGGGAATCAAGCCTTAAGTAGTTCGGCTCAGGTTCACTCATGTATTAACCCTCATCTTTTACGCTCTAACTTTTGCCAAGGCCGCCCTTTGTGGGTTTTCAACCTTGCGAGCTCAATTTTTATAATTTTTAATTTTCTGTGCTCTAACTTTTGCCTTGGTCGCCCTTTCGGGTTTTCGGCCTTGCGAGCCTCTCAGGGGTAATATTTCTTCAACTTGTCCATGTTGATCGGTTGGGAGAACTCTAGGCCATGTAGGTCCATCAGAACCACAGCTCCACCTGACCAGATAGACTTGATGATGTAGGGACTGGTCCAATTGGGTCTGAACTTGCCCCTAGGGTCATGGATGGGAGCTTGGTTGTCTTTGAGCACCAAATCTCCTTCTTTCAAATTCCGGGACTTAACCTTCTTGTTGAAAGCCCTGGCAATTCTGCGCTGATAACCTTGAACATGGTACAGTGCTTTCAGTCTTCTTTCATCAAAGAGCATGAGTTCTTCGAATCTGCTCTGCTCCCAATCTGTTTCGGCTATCTGACACTCAGCCAGTACTCGCAATGACGGAACCTCAACATCAATAGGTAGAACGGTCTCCATCCCATAAACTAATGAATACGGAGTCGCCCCAGTAGAAGTTCTAATTAACGTCTAGTAGCCCCACAGAGCAAATGACAGCTTATCTGGCCAATCCCGGTAGGTTTCCACCATCTTCTGCAAAATGTGTTTGATGTTCTTGTTGGTGGCCTCAACTGCTCTATTGGTCTGCGGCCGATATGTAGACAACTTATGAAAAGTCACATTATATTTCTCCAACAAGTCAATCACTTCTTTCTTGAAGTGGGAACCATTATCTGAAATGACCTCGTTCGGGACCCCAAAACGACAGATGATGTTGTTCCTGATAAACTTTGCAACATGTGAAGCCTTCAACACCGCATAAGATTGGGCCTCAACCCACTTTGTAAAATAGTCTATCGCGACCAGGATGAACTCATGCCCATTCGACCCTTTCAGAGGGACAGCCCCGATCACATCGATTCCCCAAACTGAAAATGGCCACGGAGAAGTCATGTTGTACAGCTTCGATGGCGGGATGTTAATGCGGTTTGCATGGATCTAACATTTGTGGCATCGCCGAACAAAGTCGATACAATCCTCCTCCATGGTGGACCAGTAGTAACCCTGTCTAAGGATTTTCCGGGCTAGCATCACCCCGTTCATGTGCGCTCCGCACTCTCCTCCATGGATGGCCTCTATCAGACTCTTTGATTCTTCAGTGTCAACACACAGCTTGTGCATTCCCAGATGACCTCTCTTATACAGTTTTCCCCCGCAGACGATGAATTGAGCAGCCATTCTTCAAATTGCCTTCTTGTCTTTGGCATTTGCCCCTAGTGGATATGCTTCTTTCTCCAAGAAGTTCCAAACATCGTAATACCAGGGGTTCTCATCTTGAACCTCATCTATGGCAGCAATCAGCTCGTAGGCCGGCACAAATTTCTAGTCAATGATGATCAGATGCATCCGGACTCTGAAAGGGATGCCTATCATAGAAGATAGAGTTGCTAGTGAATCTGTGAACCTGTTGTTCTCTCTTAGTAAATGAGCGAAGTTCAGCTTCTCAAACCAAGGAATCAGCAAGTCCATGGTCTGGTGGTACATTCTCATCTTTTCTTCTTTGAGTTTCCAATCTCCCTTAGCTTGGGATACAACAAGGTTCGAGTCCCCGATGATGTCCAACTGTTTTTCCCCTAGTTCTAGGGCTGCTTCTAAACCAGCAATGCATGCTTCATACTCAGCTTCGTTGTTCGAGACTTTGAACCGGAGTTTGAATGCTAGAGGGATACGGGAATTGTTGGGTGTTATCTGCAACACCCCTATCCCATACCCATATTGGTTTGACGCTCCGTCAAAGTACATCCTCCAAGTTTCATCCTCGACATGCAGAATGGCCTCGTCTGGGAATAAGAACTCAACTGCTTCATCCCCTTCCACTGGATGATCGGCTAAGAACTCTGCCACTGCTCTTCCCCCTTTACTGACTTGCGAGTCATATATTCTAGATCGAATTCGGAAAGTAGAAGCAACCAACGGGCTAGCCTACCCGTAAGTGCCGGTTTCTCGAAGAGATATTTGATGGGATCTAATCTTCAAACCAACATTACGGAGTGAGCTAACAGGTAGTGCCATAGCTTCCTGGTAGCCCATACCAAGGCCAAGCAAGCCTTTTCCAGCGAAGTGTAACGGGTCTCGTAATCCAGTATCTTCTTGCTCAGGTAGTAGATAGCTCTCTCCACCTTGTCCTCAGATTCTTGCGCAAGCATGCAGCCCATTGTAGTTTCAGTTACTGAAAGGTACAAAATCAACGGTTTCCCCAGCTCAGGCAGTGACAACATGGGTGGGTTCTGTAAGTATTCCTTGATCTGTTCAAAAGCAGCTTGGCATCGGCCGTCCTATTGGAACTTCGTTCCTTTCTTCAGGAGACCAAAGGGTGGTTCACAAGTCAAGGTTAATTTTGCAATAAACCGTCTTATGAATTGCACTTTACCTAGAAAGCCTCGCACC